GGGAGGGATGAATTGCAAGGGGGTGCATCGTTAGTTAAGTTTGGGCGGCTTCCGTAGCAAATTGTGAGGTTCTTTTTTTCTAAATCAAGAAATATGGGGACTCTTAAAGGGGGAAAAGGTAAGTTCCGGGGGGGAGAGGTAAGGGGTACTTGGGGGGGTTTCTTTAGCAGCCAAATATAGGGGTTTAGCAAGAAGAGCAAAGTTAGGGATCCAGTGTCGGAAAAATCCTAGAAGGCCCAAAAAGGAGAGAATTTGTTCTGCTGTTTCCGGAGGCTGGAGTTCACAGATAATCCGGGTGCGATTGGCTGTTAGACCTTTTGTGGTAGGGGTAAGGTGGAGCCCCAGGTAGGTTACAGAAGATACAGATAACTGAGCCTTGGCTGGGGAGACCCGATAACCGCGAGAGCCAAGGTAATTGAGGAGATCTGCAGTATGTTGTCTTGAGAGGCTGAGAGATGGGCTACAAAGGAGGAGGTCATCTGCATATTGAAGGAGTGTGCTGGGGGTAAGGGAGCAGGAAGTGAGGTCCCGTGCCAGCGCCTGACCGAAGAGGTGAGGACTGTCGCGGAAGCCCTTGGGAAGAACTGTCCAGGTGAGCTGACTGGAAGTATGAGTATCCGGATCCGTCCAGGTAAAGGCGAAGAGGAAATAGGAGTTGGGATGTAGGGGGATAGCGAAAAAGGCATCTTTGAGATCCAGAACCGTAAAGTGGGTTGTGGATGGGGGGATATGGGAGAGCAAGGTGTATGGGTTTGGTACTACTGGGTGGAGGGGAATTATGGCCTCATTGATTAGTCGGAGGTCCTGGACCAGGCGATAATCCCCAGAGGCCTTGCGGACAGGCAGGATGGGGGTGTTGCAGGGAGAGTCAGTGGGGATAAGGAGTCCCTGGTTTAGGAGTCTGGTGATAATAGGTTGTAGGCCCCTAAGGTGAGTCTCAGAGATGGGAAATTGGGGCCTTGATGGAAATTTGGAGGGGTCCTTTAGGCGGATGAGGACGGGGGAATGGTGTGTTGCTATTATGGGCTTAGAAGTATCCCAGACTTGGGGATTGATTGGGTTCGGTGTGATTGGAAGAGGGGGATAGGAGGGGGAGGGTTCTAGAGACAGGCCGAGAAGAGGAAGCAGGAGTTGGGAGGAGGGGACCTTAGGGTCAAGTCTAACCAGCTGGAGGGAGGCCCCTAAGTGGAAAAGGACATCTCGGCCTAGCAAGGGAGCTGGGCAGGATGGTATGACTAAGAAGGAATGAGTAAAAGGGAGTCCTTCGATATGACATGGGAGTGGACCGGTCTGGAGTGGGAAGGATGGTTTGCCATCAATACCCATGACCGAGATCTGGGAAGGAGAAACTGGCCCGGAATAGGTAGGCAGGACCGAATAGGTAGCCCCCGTGTCCACCAGAAATGAGATGGACTTACCCGCTACCTGTAGTGTTACCCTGGGCTCGGCGAGGGTGATGGGGGTCTTCGAGTCCAGGCGCCGTCAGTCATCAGCCAATCCCAGCAGTTCGAGTGGTAATGCCGTTGGGTCGGCCTGCCCCCTGTGTGGAAACGCTGAGGGAGGGCCAGTTGTAGGGCAGTCACTCTTCCAGTGGCCCGTTAGCCCGCAGCTGGGCCAGGGCTTAGAAGGAGGTCGGGGATTGGGACATTGGCGAGCCCAGTGGCCTTCTTTTCCGCATTTGAAGCAGGCCCCCGGCGGGGTTGCCCTTTGCGGACCCCGTGGATGCTGTGGTCCATGGGAGATGGCCGGCCTTAGGGCGGCTACAAGAGCTTGGGTTTGGAGGGCCACCTTCTGGTGCATCCGAGCCTGTCGGCTGGATTCTGCTAAATCCTCACGACCATTACAGACTTTAAAGGCTATTTTTACCAGATCTCGAATAGGGGTTTGAGGGCCATCTTCTGCCCGTTTTAATTTCTTTTGGATGTCCGGGGCTGATTGGGTGATAAAATGGGTGGCTAGGACCGCTGCCCCTGCCGGGGTGTCGGGATCCAGCCGGGTGTAGAGTTAAGGCCTCTGTAAGGCGATTGAGAAAGATAGCTGGATTTTCATTAGGTTCTTGGGTTATCTCTTTTAGTTTTTCAAAATTGACTACCTTATGAGCGGCAGCCCGCATGCCACCCAGAAGGCATTGGATCATGAGGTCGCGTTTACGACGGCCATCTTGGCCATCCTGATAAGTCCAGCCTGGATCGGTGCCGGGTACGGCAGTCGCTCCGACAGGCATGGAGTTGTCGGTAAGGTGAACCTGATCTGCATGGTTTCGGGCAGCAGTTTGAATTCTTTCCCTCTCGTCAGGGGTCAGAGTAGAAGATAGGATCACAAAGATATCGTGCCAGGTTAGATCGTAAGCTTGAGAGAGGTAGCGAAATTCTTTGATGTAGCGGGAAGAGTCGGCAGAAAAGGAGCCTAATCGCTTTTCTATTTGAGAGAGATCTTGGAGAGAAAAGGGAACATGAACTCTAACTAATCCTTCCGCTCCTGCTACCTCCCTCAGAGGGCAGAGAAGATTTGAATCTTGGGAGTCGTGAGAGCGTGTATGTGCACTAATTGGCGAAGCAAGGGGCGTGGGAGGAGAAACCGTCGAGGGAGGTGGGGGAACGGTTGGAGGGGCCAGAGCGGGTTCGGGAGGAGGAGGGACCGCCTCAGGGTAGGGTGGAGGTTGGAGAGGAGCTCTGGAGAGGGGAGAGGCGAGAGATTCGGGTGGGTCGGCTAGTGGAGGGGGGGTCATCGTCAAAGGAAATTAGGGGCTTGGATGTAGGAGATGTCTGTTTGGCAAGGATCTGGGAAGTGGAACAATCGATGCAGAGGGAAGGGCGGGAGCGTAAATACCAGAAGGCCTGGACTTAGGGAACCTCGGACCATTTACCCGTCCTGTGGCAGTAGTTATCTAAATCGCAGAGGATGTTGAAATCGAAAGTCCCTTCAGGAGGCCATTTAGATTGATTGTCTAGAGGGTACAGTGGCCAGGCCTCGGTGGAATAAAATATGAGCCGACTGCGGCGGAGATCTTGAGAAAAGCCGAGTTTTGTAAAGTTGGCCAGGAGACACCCCAGGGGCGTCTTAGGATCTGGTTTGGATTCTGAGGTCCCCATGACCTCCGGTTTGTCCCCGGGTGAACAGAGAAAGAGAGAGATGTCTCTGGTCTCAATCTCTGGTCACGGCGGATCGGAGAGCAGTCAGACGGTTGGGACGTCTCCACAATCGCCCGAGGCTCGGAGGGAAGACGGAGGAGTCCCTGACGCGGCCGCGGTTAAGGACAGGGAGTCCGATGGGTAGGGACCCCGGGGGTCGAGGGGAACGAAGGAGGGACTTACCCTGCTTCTGCCGGATCGGGTGGGTGAGCAGAGGTCCCCGGTCGGGAGGGGTGGCCCCGCAGTAATTTGTGGGGCTGGGTACCCCTCCCAGGTTTCGGCACCGGGAAACAGGAAAGCTTCAAGTGAGCTTTATTAGGGAGCGCTCCCGGGCGAGGTTCACTGGTCCGAGAGAAAGGGGCCAGAGAAGTCGCACCCGGGCGAGGGTTGGGCAAGATTTTATAGGGGAAGAAGGGAAAGGGGTGTGGTGAATCTGGGAGGGCGCAGGGTATTCCTTATTTGGTGGTCTCTTCGGGTATCGTGGCATTATCTGGTGCTGGTTGCATCAGTCTTGGGACCGTTAGTCCCGCCCCTCGAAAGGCGGGAAGGCTGGGCCGGGTGGAAAGTCCCCAGGTCAGTTCCTGGAACTGGGTGGTCCGGAAAGTCTCCAGGTCAGTTTCTGGAGCTGGGTGGTCCGGAGAGTTTCGGTCTGATGCAACCTGTGAATCTGATTGCGTTCCCCTGCCTCGGGCCAGTTGGCCTTACACTTTATATACAACGTTCTTGTTAATTTAGTGAACTTTTATATACCCTCCAAGTCTCTCTGAAATCTTCCTTGACAGCAGCAAGCAGCTTCTGAGGCACTTTCTTAGCCTCATTCTGAACTTTGCAAGAGGTATCTGTGTGCTTACTAGATGCTGTATTCCAACTGTTTACCTGCAAGTTTGTCTCCTGCACTGGCTGGCAATCTCCCACCGCAGAGTTCCTCTTTTTCATCATTGTATCCCCAGGGCCTAACCCACCATCACTTAGGAAACTGGTGTGCACACACACATTTCCTTTTCTAAAGCAGTTGGACCCTAAGAAAATGAAATAGTAAGAGTATTCCTAGAGAATATTCTAGAATGTCTGAGAAAACCAGCGCCACCTTGAAGCATGTGTGTGGAGTTCCACTCATTCAACCTCTTCTCCCACCCCACCCTCAGGCTGTAGTCAGAAAATCGTGGGACAGGTGCATGGAAATCCTTGAACTGTATTTGAACTGAACTAAACTGAACTGGGGTGGGGTCAAAGAAGAGAGATTTCAGAGGGAGCTGGGGACAGAGGATTTACGGAGGAATTACGATCAAGGGACCCAGGGAAGGACGCGGGGGTGGGGGGATAGTAGAGGGTGCAAGGTTCAACAACTTCCCGGCTCTGAAACTTAAGCCATTTGGCTTCCCTAAGCGCGTTTCCTCTCGCTGGGATAATAACAGAGCTTCCCTTGCAGGGTGAAGAGTAAACGACCCGGAGACCGTAGGAAAGAGGCTGGCCAGCTGAAGGTGCTCAATGAACGGGAACCTGTGAGTACTAGCCCCGCCTCCAAGCGGGCCAAAGGCCCGCCCCCCGCCGCCACCTATTAAGTTTGCGGAGCACAGTCAAAGAGTTCACCTCCTCTCGTAAGAGGATAAAGCTGGCGGGGAGGAGGGGAGGGTGGGTGTGTGTGTGTGTGTGTGTGTGTGTGTGTGTGTGTGTGTGTGTGTGTAGGGTGTGTTAGGGGAGGGTGTGTGTGTCTGGGGAGGAGGGGAGAGAATGAGTTACAGTGTGTCACTGATGTTGGTGGGGGGCGGGTGCTTAACTCCCTGCTCGCCCGGAGTAGGGGAAAGGCGAAGGCGGGGAAGGCTCTGGCCCCACTCAAAATGGAGCCAAGCGCCTGCCTCGCCTAAGATGGCGGCCTCCCCGCCTTTCGGTTCCGGGTTCTCAGCGTCGATTGGGTACCTGGGGAGTCGAGCGGGTCCAAAGGTGGCCGAGCCCCGCCCCCTTTCTCAAGGTGACGCTCCGCCCCCGATGGCGTCACGCGGGAGCCGGGGCCCGCCCTTCCCCGCCTGTGCCGCGGTTACCTCGCGTGTCCGGCCTTCATAAGATGGCGGTCGGGTCGCCTACCCGCGGCGGCACCGCCACTCTCAACATGGTAGCTGTTTACCCCGTATTTCTCCTCCCCTCTCCGCCTCAACTTCCTCGTTGTTTTGAATAAACTTTATTGACTACTCTGAATTGCCTATCACCGCCACCGGGCTTCTCCCGGCGATTTTTCGGGCTGTTTTTCTCCAACCGGGCCGCCGGTTCATCTCCTTCCTCGTTGGTTTGCTCGCGGCGATCTCCTGCCAGCCCAGCGACGCCGCCGCTTGCCTGTTCGTCAGGCGGCCGCCGGACTAGGCCCGAGCCGCGGGCTCCAGTAGGCCCTAACAGCCGGGCCTGGGGCAGAGCTGTGGAGAAAATTGCCCTGAAGCAACCGCAGGGCGGCCAGGGCCGCGCGACCAGGGCCGCGCGACCCAGCGGGTGGCTCGAGTGTAAGGCGAGAGAGGTTCGCTGCGTTGCCGTGACGATCCCAGAATTCGGTGCGCGTCGCCTGTGGGGCCGGAACTGCTGGCCGAACCTTCGCTGAGCGAGGCGCTGAGCAGCTCCGGAGCGAGCCCGGCCGCCGGCGCTTCGGTGGAACTGAGCTCAGCGGGCGTGAGGAATCCCTGCGGCTTTGCAGATGAGGAGGTCCCTGTAGGGTTCCGGACTGAATACGTTCTTGTCAGGTTTGGGGCGTGAGGAGGTTCCTGTCAGTTTGGGAGGCGTGAAGAGATTCTCGTAAGTTTCGGGGGCTGCAAGGATATTCCTGTCACTCTTGGGATCTGTGACGAGATCCCTGTCAGTTTTGGGGGACAGGGGAGTCTTGGTCAGTTTGAGGGGGCTGTGAGGAGATACCTGCCAGTTTAAGAGCTGTGGGAGGAAAATCCTGGCTTGGTTGCAGGAGTGTGAGGAAATTCTAGTCAGTTTCAGGGATTTTGAAGCGATCCTTTCGAGTTTTGGGGGTGCAATAAGAACCCTGTCGTCTTTGAAGTAGAGGGTGAGCTGATCAGTTTTGAGGTTGAGATTTATTTCAGTTGTTGGGGTGATGAGACTCCCGATTGGTCGGGGATGGAATGATTTTGAGAGTGAAGGAGCAGATCATTTAAACTCTCACAACAGAACCCCAGAACTGTGATTTGAGTTGGGCGCCTAGTCTTGTCTGCCTCGTTGCTGAAGACATCGAGGTAATTGTCGAGTAATCTGAGGACTTACAAGGATCCCTCATCTCTCTCTAGTTGCGTCTATTTTGGGGGTGAGAGAAGTGGCTTTTTCTGAGGTACCCCCAGCCTCATCCTCTAGGCTATGCTTTGTGTCATAATAAATATTGAGAGCCCTGGGAAACAAGGTTGCTAACAAGGAGAGGGTGCAGTGAGGGATTAAAGAACCTTCCTGAAAAGGCATCAGATCTTTCCCTGAAACCCGGAAAGAAGTTATCACTGACCCTGGGGGCTGAAGGAGGTAAGGAGGGAAAAAAAGCCTCGACGGCAGAGCGCCGTTCTTTATTTGTTAAAGAAATTCTGGCGGCCGGTGGACTTTCTCCGATTGCCCCCTACAGCCGCACCAGCTGTGTTGCATCCCGGCAGCGGTAACTGCCCATTTGTGAGCTGAGGGACCTGATTCACTCTGTAAAAAGTGTTGTTTGTGCCCAGCCTTCGTCCAGAGAGAACGCGTGCTGCCGCCTCCCGCTCCCTTTGACGCTGAGAACCTGGCCCACCGCAGAACGCTCCAAGGCCAGGCGAAGATGGCCTCGGTACCGGTGTATTGCCTCTGTCGCCTGCCTTACGATGTCACCCGCTTCATGATCGAGTGTGACATGTGCCAGGACTGGTTTCATGGCAGGTAAGGAGGGCAGGGCACGCTGGACAGGGTGTAGAGACCAGGTGCTCACTTGCTCCTTTCTCAACTCTGGTTCAGGTTCCTGCTCAGAAACTTATTTCCCCTCTCTTGCAGACAGTTAACACCAACCCATCTCCCAGACCCAGATTCTTACGTCCTTCCTTGCAGACTAGGGCCTAGCTGACATTGGCCTCTGGTTTCTCCTCTTTTTTCTTTTCCCATATGTATTTCTTCTTTGTACCCTTCTTCTGTTTCTTTGTTTTTTTTCCCTTAGAAAAATATTTTCTTTCCAGCCACAAAGAATGTATCATTTTTGTATTCTGGCAATTTTGTTTTGCCTCAGATGCTGGTTTTGGGGGAGACGGTACTGCATTTTTGAGATATTTGAGTCCAACAAACATGGATTTGAGTTGTGGTTTTGCAACTTATTATCAGAGTGACCTTGGGCAAGTTGCTTTGCCTCTCTGAGCCTCTGTTTTCACCCATGAAGTATATCTAATACATCCTTCCTGTTTACTTAAAGCATTTTGCATGCACTCAGTAAATGGAGACAGAAATGCAATAGTATTTTATTTCTACAGTATTTATCTGAAGACCCATCCAGCTAAATTGAATTAAGCAGAGGAGATGTTGGGTAAAACAGTAGGAGTAAAACCACTAATGAATTCCCTCCAGCTAAACATGTGTGCACATAAGCACCTGTCACCCAGGATTCCAGAGAGGTTAGTGTGTGGAATAAACCTGTAATATTATCCCATTATTGAGACTTATATCCCAGCTCTGGAAAGAAAACCATGAGAGGGATTTGTACATTAGAGTACAACAAAACAGTGTATGGCGTCCTCCTCCTGTTGCATGTTGTTAGATTCTAGAATTTTCAGTTATCATTAGTCCCCTCCAAAGGAGCTGTTCCTGCTATCACACCCAAGACCAAACTGAAGGTGTTGGTGCTGCTAAAATTCTGCTCTTAGCAGGGACTGCCCTGTGCAGCACGTCCAAATTCATATTCAGCTGATCTTTGTTGAGTATTACTGTGTGTCATGTTCCCATGGCACTTTGTGTACATCCTTATTGAAAGTGATTATTTCATCATATCATAGTTATAAATACGTCTGTGTCACTCATTAGCAAGAGCTGCCTGAGGGCAGAGATGTCAGCTTTTCATGTTTGGTATCCTCAGAACCTAGTTCAATGCTAAACGTATAATAGATTCTGAGTACATTTTTTTTTTTTTTTTTTTTTTTTTTTTGCGGTACGCGGGCCTCTCACTGTTGTGGCCTCTCCTGTTGCGGAGCACAGGCTCCGGACGCGCAGGCTCAGCAGCCATGGCTCACGGGCCTAGCCTCTCCGCAGCATGTAGGATCTTCCCGGACCGGGGCACGAACCCGTGTCCCCTGCATCGGCAGACGGACTCTCAACCACTGCGCCACCAGGGAAGCCCCCTGAGTACATTTTTGAATGAACAAATGAATGAGTTGTCTTGAAGAAAGCTATTGCCTGTGGCCCTTGCTTTGGATTGTGTAGGTTTAAACCTGGAAAGTGAACTCCTACCACAATACAGAGACCCTAACTCTGCAGTCTGGGAACAGGAAACAGGAATGAATGCTTCCTGAGTACTTACTGTGTTCCAGGCCCCATGACAGAGACTTGGCATACATTTATCTCATCTAATCCACATCCAAGCCTGAAAGTTAGGTATTTCTTTTTTAAATAATAATAAAAAAATTTCCCTGACTATGTAAGTGAGACATGCTCATTGTAGAACATACAGAAAAAGAATAAAGAAGGAAATAAAAATCATCCGTGAGCCTACTATCCAGGACAATCTACTGTTTAATTTTTCTGTTGCATTAACTCCCATTATTTGACTTAGAATATAAACATATATTTTACAACATGGGATTGTATTATAAGTACCATTTTGTAACGTGATTTTTATTCCTACTTAACATTATAAAGTTAAGGTCATTAAATATTGATCTGATTTCTGATATCCCATCATATATCTGTATCATCAGTTACTTGGTCATTTCCTCTGAGGTTGGATACTTAGGTTATTTCTACTTTTTTATATTATAAATAATACTATGATGTGAGGGAAACTTTGGGGGTTCTGGAAATGTTTTGCATTTTTATTTGGGTGCTTGTTGAAACAAAAGAAAACATTGCGGTGAACATCTTTGCATAGTAGAGACTTGACACTTACAAGGAACACCACTGAGGCCTTTAAGAATTCCAAATTTACAAATATGGAAATGGATTTATGGGCCAGGCCCCTCCTTAATCACATTTCTGTGGTGAGTCCTGTGTTTCTGTGCACACCCTGACATAAGTTAACTGCCTTAATTGTTTTTCCTGTGAAAGTGACCAAGCTTTTATCTCTTATCATGCTTTTCTCTATGGGCTGCCAGAGAATAAGGAAGCCAGCTGAGAATCAGGTCCTTGGTGGGTGGCTGTTCTTGCTTACTCAGTGCATTGCGTGCGTGCGCACGTGCGCGCGCACACACACACACACACAGACACACACCAGGCTCATAGTGCTCTAGTTAAGTCTGTACTTTAGCATAATTGAAAATTACTAAATATCGTGGACTTTTCACGGTTGTTCACAATAGTTAAGCCCACAAATGCCTATAGATGATATAAATCTGTTCACATCTCTGATGACTTCCATAGGCCAGATTTCTTAAAGTCCAGTTGGGGATTAGTAATGCCATGTTACTTCCTGGTAAGGTTATAGCAAGGAAGGTGACTATTCCATTTTGCTGATGAGAATCTGGATCTCATGGAGGTTAAGTTACTTTCTGAGTCTGGATTTGAACTTAGAATTATCTGGCTCCAGAGCCCAGGTTCTCAAAAGTGGGAAAAAAATGGTATAGCTCCATTCCTCTATTGTAAAGGACTGGATTTTGAAGAGCATTTTGATTTGTAGAGCAGTGGTTCTCAAACTTTAGGGTGTATCAGAATTACTTGGAAGACCTCTTAAAAGATGAGATAGGTAGGCTCCACTTGCAGGGTTTCTGATTCAGTATGTGAGCGGAGGCTACTCTCAGAGCCACTGATTTAGAGCATTATTCTGTCTCAGTTCCTTCCCTTTCTGTAGAGTGTGACAGCTTCTGATATTGGGGGATGGGTGGGCTAACATATCATTACTGTACACTGTTGTTCTCAAAATGTGGTTCATTAACCGGGAATTTGTTAAAAATGCAAATTCTTGGGTTGGGACCTGGCAATCTATATTTTAACAAGCAGGTAGATTCTGATGTACCCTAACTTTTGAGAAACATTGCTGTACACTGGTGGAGGAAGTTAGTTGGCAAGCATTTATTGATGTCTGGGGCTTTGGCAAAATCTCTACAGTTTTCCTATCTATAAAGGAAGTATTGGTTGGCATATCCCCTAGGTGGTGGCTGTGGTGTGGACTCTAAACTCTAGAGGAAATGGCACTGGCTTCAGATCTGGGTTCAAATTCTGACTCTGTTACTTTTTAGCAAAGGATTTCATCTCTGTGAAGCCTCAATTTCCCCAAGAGTGGTTGTGATGATTTAAATAAAATGGTAGTGGCCCTTGTTTATTGAGCACTAGCTAGTCTGCTAGTCACTATGCTAAACACTTTGCTTAATTATCTTTAACCTTTTTTTGAGTTTTAAAATTATGAATTCAGTTCATTTAATAGTTATAGGACTATTTAAATTATGTATTTTGTATTGGATATGTTGTGGTAGTTTCTGCTTTCTAAGGAATTGATCTATTTCTTCTAAGTTGTCAAATTTAAGTGTGTAGAATTTTTCATAGTATTCCCTTATTATCCTTTTGATGGCTGCAGGCTGGCTCTGTGGTGACATCTCATTTCATTCCTGATGTTGAAAATTTGTCTCTTCTCTCTTTTTTTCTTTGTCAGACTTGCTAGAGATTTGTCAGTTTTATTGATCTTTTCAAAGAGGAAGCTTTTTGTTTCATTGAATTTCCCTATTGTCTTTCTGTTTTCAATTTCACTGATTTCTGCACTTTATTATTACCTTCCTTCTGCTTGCTTTGGGTTCATTTTGCTCCTCTTAATGTCTTGAGGTGGGAGCTTAGTTTACTGATTTGAGACTTTTCTTGTATTCTAATATAAGCATTTAGTGCTATCGGTTTCCTTCTTAGTACTGATTTAGCTGTGTCCCACAAATTTTGATATGTTTTCTTTTTCATGTAGTTCAATATAATTTTTAATTTGCTTAGAGACTTCACATTTGACCTATGAATTATATAGAAGTATGTTGTTTACTTTCCAAGTGTTTGCAGATTTTCCTGTTATCATTCTGTTATTGATTTCTGGTTTGTTTCCATAGCGGTCAGAGAATATACTCTATACAATTTCAGTTCCTTTAGATTTACTGGTGTTTGTTTTATGGCCCAGGATATGGTCTGTCTTAGTACATGTTCCATGGTCACTTGAAAAGAATGTATATCCTGCTGATGTTGGGAGGAGTTTTCTGTAAATGTTGATTTACTCCTGTTGGTTGATGGTGTTGCTGAATTCTCTCTTTGCTGATTTTCTGTATAGTTGTTCAGTTCGTTGTTGAGAAGGAGGTGTTGAAGTGTCCAGCTAAAATTGTCAATTTTTAATTCTTCCTTTCAGTTTTATCATTTGCCTCACATCTTGCAGCTTTGTTGTTTGAATGCAGATGCATTGGGGATTAATGTGTCTTGGTGGATTGACCCTTTAATTATTATGTAATGTCCTTCTCTGTCTCTGGTAATTTTCTTTGCGTGGAAGTCCACTTTATAGGATATTAATATAGCCATTAATATAGCCACTCCTGCTTTCTTTTGATTAAAGGTTGCCTGGTATCTTTTTCTATCCCTTTACTTTCAACTGATGTCATTATATATGAAGTGAGTTTCTTGTAGGCAGCATATAGTTCAGAATTATTTTTGTCCACTCTGCCAATCTTTTTTTTTTTACATCTTTATTGGAGTATAATTGCTTTACACTGGTGTGTTAGTTTCTGCTTTAT